ATATATACATAGTGTGTGTCTGTATGAGAACGAAACAGGCATACATTCTCGCAACCACATTCAGATCCACCCCCCCTCCCCACATACACAGTACTACCCCCCCACTTACCGTACGCGATTCCGCTTATTGTCCATAACCACGGCTCTATACGCATAGCCCCACCACTCAGCCGCTGCCCCACTCACAGCTGTTTCTGGTCTGCGTGCGCGTCTGTACTGATATACCACTGCCTGTCGTGCCATAGAGTCTAACACGCCTAGAACACCATGGTATTGGTATCCATCCAGCCGCAGGTAGAAGGCGGCCTGAGTGTGGGGGTGTGGGGGTGTGGGTGTGGATGGGGGATGATATATGCACATCTCAGTGTGTGTGTGTGTACATGTGTGTGAAGTGTGTGAAAGTGTGACAAGAGAGAGAGAATGAGTGTGTGTGTGTAGAAGAGTGTGACAAGAGACAGAACGCCGTCGGTACATGATACATCGAGAGTGGATGAATACATGCACACCTCAGGGTATGTATGTGTGTACATGTGTGCGTGTGTGTGTGTGTGTACATGTGTGTGCGTGTGTGCGTGTACATGTGTTGCTGTGTGTGTGTGTACATGTGTGTGCGTGTGTGTGTGTGTACATGTGTGAAAGTGTGTGTGTGCGTACATGTGTGTGAAAGTGTGACAAGAGAGAGTGCGTGTGCGTGTGTGTGTACGTGTGGGATATATGTGATGACCGTCTGTCCATGTATACGTACATGTTCATTAACGTGTACGTATGTCGAAAAACGTATACGTACATATCTACTACCGTTTACGAATATGTAAATTTAAGATTTCATAGATAAGTTTGTTTGTGATGGTTGCATGTCCTCGTATACGTACGTCTATTAACGCGTACGTGTATAGTCTATTCACACACACGCACATATCTATCCTATCTCCGTCAGTGAACATGTGATGCAATGGCCTTGTACATACTACCGAGTTTGTATGCAATCGTTGCATACTCACTTATTGCATCTCGTTTTAAAGTATGCCTATTAGCGTATATGTATCTGTACATTGCTGTATGCGTATATGGCTGTTAACGTATACGCACATGCCTATCCTATCGATATCGCCACATCCCGTTCTCAACTTACTGTGTCCCAGTGCTGTGGTTTAGCAATGTGAATGCAAAGCTACATTAGTTAACAACCTATCATGAATGTTGCCCGTAGATAACATCGATAACAGTTCGGCGATAAGGCAAGTATATATATATATATATATATATATGTATATATATATAAAATAGTAAATATAAATATATATATATATATATATATATATATGTGTGTG